CACATGCTCTTCCAGTACAGGTTAGCTCTGAGTGTTAGCGATGCTAATGTAAACACCGACCATATTACGTCCAAAACAGTCGGGCATTGTTTCTGATAGCAACGTTTCTGATAGGGCCGTGGGTGTAAAGCCAGCATACATTTCAGATATTACGTCATATCGGACGCAAATCTGGATCAGCTCCGTTGTAGCCCCGTTTTTAGAGATTTGGGTACGGAGGAAAAGAGAGAGGGTTTTATTTTCTGATGCTGCGTGAGTTCCCTGACACACCGGGGACACATACTTATGTATAAAAGACATCAACAAGTGCATTTTACATGATAGGTCCCCTTTAAGACGAAATTAAATACGGTTTCTTTTGGTGATAACTATTTAGATAAATAAGTCAATTGCAAGATGACTTATTTATCTTAATTTGGCTGTATTGTAATCTGTAAAAAGGAGTACTGGTTTAAATGTCGTTTTTAGCCATTTTTCTTACTAATTTTTGAATCTTTACTACACTAAATAATTGTGATACCATTGCAAAGACACACCCCTTCTCTAATTTAATTAAGATGTTGATAACATCTTTTGACAGAAGTGTAACTCACCTGCACTCCTGGATGTAGCGCACAGCTTTGGTAAACTCGTGGTTCTTAAGGCACTCCAGTATGGCCTGTACAGCTGCCTCAGAGCTGGGGAAGATGGGCACAACCATGGCGGCCACCTGGGAGGCGTGTGCGTGAGTGTGGGCCAAGTGTTTGTGTTCCAGGTCGCTCGCTACAGCCGCCTCTGCTGCCTGCAGGCTGGTCCTCAGATCAGTGAGCTCCCGAGACATGTTCAGAAGCTACAGAGTGGGAGGGAAACAGATGGTGGTTTAGTGTGTAAGCTTTCAAGTCATCGCATAAGTCATGTTTCTAAGATAATGGGGAAAGAGTTTTCTAAACAGCTGGTGGGTTTTAAGATGTTCTTTGTAAGGGATTTCTTTCTTTTTTTACAGCCAACTCTTTGGCTGTTCTTCTTTTTTTCTTGTTGATTTAAATCAGAATCAGAAACAGATTTATTACCAGGTAGGTTGACACGTACGAGGAATTTGACTTGATGTCATTGTGCATACATAAAAGTAAAACAAAAATAAAAAAACACAGATAGAGAACTATTTTAAGAAAACTATAATAAAATTAAAAAACATTAAAAATAATAGAAAATATAGCAGTATTTACATAGAAATAGAATGGAATAAAATATGGAATACAATTCGGCAATAATACAAAAAAGATAACAAATATAACTATTCTGTCTCATGCCCACTACATGTTGCTACCGACTGGGTCCATGTCTCAAATATTGAGACCCTGAACAGTGGGAGGATTTGAAATGATATCTTTATGAGCTATGATTTGGCTTACTTCAGGCACAGAGCTGACAGCATGAACTTGACCAATGAGCGAGCAGTAGGACTGGAACAGGAGAAGAAGCTGAAAATGCAGCTTGTAGAGCCTCTGACAGAGCTCCAGTTGCTAGAACACATTGAAGATGAAACCGTGTCAGATTCATCAACAGCAAAGAATACACAGACAAAACTACACACTGCATATACACAAACACACACACGCAACATAATACAAACACAATAACTTGACTGGCTTATTGTCTTGTGAAAAAATAAATTAAGCTGTTTATTTAAGAGGCAGTGAAGTGAAGAAAGAGAACTTACTGCAAGAGACTCCATTTGCTACACAGCGAGAGAGCATGTTAGGGCGGCAGAGTGAGGTGAGAGGAAGACAAAGCGTCAAACACATGCGCAGCACAGTATAAACCGTGGCTATTCACAGTCAAGCTACCAAGAATTAGTCACCAGTGTATACAAAACCATCAGTTTTAAGTTTCATTTAGTGACTGGTGAGAAAATATCAGTAGGAGAAACTCGATAACACACAGCAAACATGCAGAGAGAGCAGACATTTCAGAGACAAAATCACAGAGGAGGCACATAAATACAAAGCACAGCTGCAAAAGTTACCCATATGTTTAGAGTGTTTGCCTCTACATATCTGCATGTTGCAATGAATAACTTGGTAAACTAGTTGCCTGTACCTTCTCTTCTGAGTCTCCAGGCTGGCAGGAAACTATACTGTCACCGGGGCACCTGGGAAATGTGTCCTTACAGTTTCTCAGCCACTGGAGGAAGAGAGGGGGAAAGGGGTTGAGAATAAGAGGGATGGTTAAAATGTCACACATTAACATGAGAAAAACAAACAGATTGATCAATAATGTGTAGAGCAGCGGTTCCCAACCTGTGGGCTGCGGCCCCCTAGTGGTCCGCGAAGGCATTGCAAGTGGGCCGCCAAATTATTTTATTTAAATGTATTGACCAGGCTAAAGACACAAACATGGACATAACAATAACATATAGGAGATGCCATTCCCATCAGACAAAAACAAAACAAAAACAGAAGAAATAAAGATACAGTCAGTAGGATCACTTCAGGAGGACATTTTACAAACAAAAATAGGTTGACAACCAAATACCACCAAAAACACAACACGGCAAGCATATTTATTGTTCCTTTAATCCCACTCTTCGTTAGAGCTAATCATTTCCCATGTCATGGCGTGTTGAGCCACCCTTTGATTTTTTGTGGCAATCATTTTTTCCAAAATAAATTGTATTTTTAATCTACTCTTCAAACACCTTAAATTAAGATTACTCCTTGATTGACTTTTAAAAATATGTATTTTAGCCAGAAGAATAGTTGTATTTATTAACTGTGTGCGGTCTACATCTAAAAGCCCAAATAAAATATTAAAGGGTGTAAATGTAAATGCAATATTTGCCGCCAAATAATTAGCAAAACATTATGATTTGTGTGGAAACATTTTTATTATGAAGATTTTCTTTTATTTGAACCTCTTTCCTTTCTCTTTCTCAATCCTCCTTAGCAACGGTCATTACAGTCCTTGACAGCGGTCTGTTCTACTGGATTTACAACGTGTCACATGTTCTGAATTGACCAATCAGAACTTCATTTAGCCTCCGTATTGTTTATGGTTGAATGTGGGCCGCGAAAAAATGTTTGATTCTTAAGTGGACCCTGAGTTGAAAAAGGTTGGGAACCGCTGGTGTAGAGGTTAGCTTACCGATAGTGCAGAGTCCTCTTTGGTGTTGTAGGTGTCCAGGTACTCCTGCAGCTCCAGCGCACTGAACTTCATCTTCTCAAGGAGACCATAGGACATGATCTGGACGGACCAACAAGAAGAAAGGAGCAGTTGAACACAAATCCCTACAGACTACCATGGTCTGAACCAAAAAAGTTGATTCAATTATTTCTGCCAGCAATTCTCACCGTGTCGGCATCAATGTAGATTGTGGGACAATCTGAGCATGTTGTCAGCATCTGTGAGGACCTTTGGAACTTTGACCCGATGCCCCTTAAGCCTTCTCCAAGGTAAGTGGCAACATCAGTTGTCAGGAGGCAGAATTTACCTTGGATGTTCTGGGAAAGGAAGTAAGTTTGAGGAAATATTGTACTTTTTATACACTCATGAAGGTAAAAAAAAGTTTGGATTTGAGCAGCATAGTAAGTGAAAAGTATGATGAATTACAGGTCATTTAAAATAATCTTTACCTTAAAGAGAGATGAGAAGACTTGAAAAGTGTGAACGGCACAGGAACCATCCGAGTCAGTCACAAGCTGGTTGATATGACAACGCCATGCATCCTCAGCATCGTCACACACTGTGGGTTGGAAGGCTGCCAAGATGGCGGAGAAAAATGGAGAAGGGGGAGGAGGAAAACCAAGGTCTTCCAAGTCATCTACATCATCACGTAAGCTGTTGCAATGGAAATGGGAAAGAAATGGGGGTACAAAGAAAAAAAGGGTTTGATACCTTCCCCCCATAAAGGTGTTATATCAATAGCAGGTGTCCAACTACCTCATGGGAGTTATCTAATGTGATTGCCTCTGTTCCAGCAGCAATGTTTAAAGCTAGCCTACATGGGTAACAGGGGACAGGAATACTATAAATCATTTAGTAGGTATAATTCAAGAGGTAATACTTTATAGTTGAGGAGATTTTAGAAATCAGGACAATAAATGGCAAACACAAGCTGTGGCAACAAAGAAAAGCAATGGTATACTAAGTGATATACATATATGTACATGTAGGGGTTGAGACATGCTGTTAAGTTACATGCAACTTAATACTAGCCATGTATCTAGCAGTGTTTCTACTTAGTGATTTAGTTATTCACACAGCGTTTAAACTCTTTTCATTAAGCTTTATCATTATTTTCAACGGGGGTTTGCATATATGAGAATGTAAATAAAACTTGTTTGTCTGAGGAATATCTTTACAGCACACTAACTGTGAATGACAGCTTAAAATGACCTGATCTGTCCCAATGCTGTTTGCACAAACATTCTGGCTGTGACAGACTGCATTAAGCGCTAAGTTTGCAGCTTAACTGAGGTGTGGTCCCATTGTCAGTCAACCTGCCGGCTGATAAAAGTTCCAGTGAAACAATAATCCATATTGTTCCCTGGTCTTTTGTCCCTGTCTGTCACATTCACCTGGGCAGACAGTTGGGGTCTAGAAAGTCCAGCGGCGGTTGGCAGTAGTCTGCGTTGAGGCTGTGGTCCCGATTGGACATAAGATCCAGAGGTTGCCCCGGCAACTCCAGGGTGAAGCTCTCGCCGCAGTCCGAGCCTTGAGGCAGATCGTTGGTGCTCAGCGACAGCTCGTCATCCGGGGCCTGAGTGTCCTCATCCTCCCCACACATCCTCCCCTGAGGAGACAGAGGTGTTACATTTTCTGAGGGTAACAGATGCATGTGTACTAATACATAAGCACGTATTTGCATTAATACTCACATGTAAATGTAGATCGTCAAGGAGCCCTCCCTGGCCCGGTGTGGTGGCATTGAAGGATTGTGGGTCGGCAGATGTGTCGTAGGAAGTGGATAGAGAATCAGTGTGATTGGTTTCCTCCGATGGAGAAGGGTTAGTCTGGAACAGGAAGGCAAAGCAGGGACATCTATAATTGTTTTATTGACTTATGCACAATAACATTTTTCAAGCTACAGTGGATGTTATTGTTGCGTTGATGTAACAGCTTTAACTACGCACGAGTTGAGAGTGAGAGAGGCTCTGGCTCGTTGAGGACTCCTCTTCCTCCGAGGACTCGTCTGAATCATGGGGGTCTTCATGACCCAGACTAGGGGTGCTGCCTGAGTGCTGGCTCTCTTCCAACATGTCGCCCAGCTCTGTGCTGTCCAGGGAGCGCCGACGCACGCCCCAGTTAAAGTTATCAACGGTCTCGCCCTGGATAGAACACACACAATGGAAGACAAAGGCAGAGGCGAAGGCAGCAGTGAATTTCTCTGCTGTGAGAACAACATTTTCATGTTAGCCTTCAAGATAATGAATAGTCTTAAGGAGCCATATTATGCTAATTTTCCAAGTTTCATATTTGTATTTTGTGCCTCTATTGTTACATGCTTAATTGTTCAAAAAGGTCTTTATTCTTCTCATGCTGCCTGTGCTGCAGCACCTCTTTTCACCCTCTGTCTGAAACCAGAGTCCAGTCTGCTCTGATTGGTTAGCTCAGGGGTCGGCAACCCGCGGCTCTCTTCCTTCTCGAAAATAAGAAGGAAAGAAAATAAAAGTATTTGTAGGACTATTTATATTTTGTTGCATGGTTGAAAATGTTTCGTCTCTTGTATTTTGAGGTGATACTGTGACACATTACATTTTATTATTTTTTTTAAACGGTTTTAATTAGGTCAACTAAAATATGCGTCATATCCTGCTACGGTCCCGCACCAGCGCCATTTCTTGCAGGCGAATAAACTGAACCCCGGCTCGATGAGCGAACTATGGATAAATCAAAGAAAATAAAAGTATCGGAGCAACACAGGATTTAGTTCTGCGTGGACAGAGTTATGCTTTCACAGCAAACGATGCTGGTTTACCGGTAAAAACGGAAGAAGAAGTCAGCTGACGATCTTGAGTCATAATTCAATCAGTTAACTCTTTTTAGGGTGCAGNAAGCTATCGGGTTCTGTTGTCATTGGGTCATTGTTTAGAAAGTGTTTCCCACCCCCTTAGCTATCATGTATAATATGTTGGATGTGGCTAGCGCAATAGCAGCAAAAGTGTTACACTGATGTCACTATGTAACAGAAATAAAATTTAATTACTACAATCGCATGCTTTTAAGCAGGGGGGGGGGGGGAGTGCGTGGAAAGAGAAATCCCTCTGGAGGTGATCCTTGGATTCAGTTTCCTTGTAGACCTACTTATCTCTGGCACAAAAACCGAATATCTTCTACATATATAAGTGTGTAAACCCTATAATAAAGTCAAATTATGGCTTCTTAAGATGTGATCCATATAGCATCAAGAGTCAAAGATCATGGGCATTGAAAAATCTGGAAACAGCTGTTTCTATTCCATTAGACACATACAGTATCATTTTCTCCATTATGATAGTCAGAAATGTTAGTCCTGCAACCAAAGGGGGGGGGGGGGGGGGGGGGGCTGTGACGAGCAAATACAAGCCACCATCATCCCTTGTTTTTTCTCAGTGGGAACACCGAGCACACACCACAGCGGGCTGGAGTAGAAGCTATGTAAGGGTGCTCAGTGTGAGAGACGCTTACTGGAGCTCCTGGGCAGCGGAGGGGAAGAGAAAGACGAGACAAACAGTGTTAAACAGAAAAGAGAGAGAACATAGGAAAAGGGACAGAGAAATCACATTTCAAATATATTTTTTTGTTTGTAGAAAGACTGAACGGGGATAAAATGTAGATATTATTAAGGTTAAAAAAAAAGATGATCGGGTATATCATTCATGTAAATGATGATTGTAACATATACGCACGCACCTGGTGCAATTGTGGATTATTAAATTAAGGGAGTTAATCGCAATTCAGCTTAAACAGATGAAAATGGTTATGGTTCTTGGGAAAAAAAGGTTATGAATGTATTTTATGTGGATAATTGTTATGCTATAATTAGTTATGCTATAATATATATAATATATAGATTGAAACTCAGACCGATGCCTAAAAAACATAAAGGCTAGGAATTTTCCTGGTGAAATGACCAAGAATGCGGTTGGGAAGAGGGACCGGTGGCATGGGAAAGGGATTCCCTATATTTTTTCTTTCTTTGTCTTTTCTTTTTCTTTTTGTATTGTCTATATATTTTGTATCTGTATAAGTCCCTTTTATGAGGGCAAAAAAAACAAAACAAAAAAACAATAAAAAGTTGGTCACAAAAAAAAAAAAGGTTAAAAAAAAGGAAAGAGACATATACAAATAATGTTTTCAATTAAAGTGGCCATGTGCAGTAAATTATGAATCTCACCTCTCCGTCCTCCAGCTCCACGTCCAGGAAGTCAAAGTCTCTGAAAACTCTGAACTGCTGCTCGCTGGCGGTGTCGTCCAGCGTGTCCTCTCTGGTTCCTCCCTCCTCAGAAGACACACCACTCTCACGCACCTCCATCATGTCCAAGTCGCCACACGATGAGAAGATCACCTGGAAGTGGAAAAAAAGGTTTTTACAATGATCACAGAAAGCAAGTGAATTCTTCATAAAAATTACATTTCCTATGATTTACAGTGACATTATTCTCGAGTAATAAAGTAGAATTTATGATTTTAAGTGCACAGAGGCACAATTTGCCTTAGTGGAAAGAGATTTTTGCACTTATGATTCTTTTAGGCTGTATACAACTACACACTACAGGTATAGTTGAGTGTAAACACAAGATGGGAGGAGGCTTACAGATGGGTTCTTGGTGAGTCCAACTTCTTGTCCACAAAGAGACAAAACGTTCACCAGCTTTTCTCTTGTTCTTTTCTGTATGTAGGAGAAATAGAAGTATTAGTATTAATCAGAGAGGGACAGACAAAAACTCTATTATACTCGAGATTTCTCCTTTTGTCTATCTCGGATTATTAATTATTAACGGCTTCAGATGTTTAAACAAACAATAATCAGTTTAGCCCAGAGCGTCGGTGAATAAAGCATTTACATACAGTATACACAAAGTCTAGCACAGTTTTGCACGACTTATTAAAATAAGGCAAGCACCTGCAGGAATTATGACTTTGATGTCAAAACAAAGAGGTGGTTGTAAGCCAGTATGTTTTTGCATATAGCAACTCGTGTCAATATATTTGAGGTTGTGATTATATCGCAATTTGATAGTGTGTTCCTGGAGTTACAATACCAAACAGAATTGCAGTGACAAACGTACAGTTAGAGTTAGGAACACAATTATATAAACTGTAATATGTTGTTACACAATGGTAGGGTCTAACTCTACCTGAGAGGATTGTGGTCTCCTCCAGCTGACGGGAACCAGGATAGTGTTGGAGTTGGATCCGGAGGAGGTGGAGGAAGTGCTGCGGGTGACAGCCATGGCTCTGGCCTTCCCCTCTCTCCCCCCTGAACCCTGGAGCTCATCGAAACGACGCCCGATCACTGGAGTCTGTGAATAAAACAAGGAAGCAGGCCCTCAAGAAATAGTTTGCAAATATTTATGACATAGTCCTCTTTTTTTCTCTGAAACCTTGAGTACGTAAGTAGTTGCACGTGGTGGGACATAATGTCCATTTTATTTTGACGCTTCCTCACCTCTGAGATGTCAAAGGTGAAGTCCAGGGTTTTCCCAGGCAGAGCTTTGGCTGAGCCGTCCCACACCCTGCTGACCTCCAGGTTGGACAGGTCTCCCTGCGAGTGGCGGTACGACGGATGAACTAGGCTGGCAGAGCGGGACACCACCAGCTTCAAGATGTTTAAGGCATCCTTCCAGTGTACCGTCTGAGGAATCACAAACACAGTATAAAAGAGACTGCAGTGCATATTTTTTATCGCACAACAACAGAAGGGGAATACCATTAACTAACAAAGTACTGTATGAGAGTTACCTGGACAAACTTCTCGATGGTCTTGGTGACATCAGCGTTGAACTGTTTGACATGTACGGCGGTCAGGTCCATGTGGCTGAGCAGGCAGTAGATGATCTGCAGGAGAGACTGTTGCATGCTGGGAAGGCCCTTATCCAGCAGCTGAGAAATTAAGAGAGACTTTCAGTGAGTATGCATTCAACCGCAACATTTATTTTATTTTGCTTATGGCCAATCTCAGAGGTTCTAGGGCCCATAATAATAAATGTTATATAATAAAATAACAATAGACTACTGGTTATTGGATTACATTTCAAACATGCAGATTTTTGAAAAGTGAGAGCTTCAGCAAAATATCAACATAAATAAAAAAACACTTTCACTAAATCTATTATCCTAACATGCAATGAGTTGAGCCTAATACTTGTAGCCACAGTGAGAGAAGGTTTATAACGTAAATCAAGGAATAAAGTATATACTGCATATTTTTCAGCACTTACCTCAGCCATGTAGGTGACCATGTTGAGTGTGATGTCACAGAAAGCCTCATGGAGGTAGCGGCACACCACACTGACCCAGGAGAAAGGGTCCCGCGTGTAGGAGCGTGTTTTATACAGAGTCATCACATGGGCCAAATGGGACAGCTTTGTGTTCTTTTCCACTAAACACACCTGAGGGCAAGAGAGGGAAGGAGAAGATGTTTCAATTAGTTTATGAGCTAATCTTTTCTGTGCCTGTTTGTTATTCTGATCTGAAGAGGAAACTAAAGGAAAACTAGACTGAGCTCAAGTGAAGAACTGAACCGTACCTGTGCGATCCTCTCAGCGCTCTCCTTACAAAACTGAGTAGGATGGCCAAAGTGCAGCACCAGGTGAGGCAGCAGACAAAGCACATTCAGCGGGAACCCTGCACACACAGAAGAGGTTGCAAATGATATACTTGTTTGATTTGATGCAATAAGACATGATGATCATAATCTCCAGTGCCTACCTATAGACTGCGAGCTGTCGACAACAGGCACCCGGGAGACTGGCGTGAGCTGGCAGAAGAGCTGTAGGGTGAGGTCAGAGGTGGCCTGGGAGGTGAACCCCTTCAACAAAAGCTGCTGAATCCCAGAGAAGCCGCTCCACCTCAGCTGAGCCTGCAGCTTCTCCAGGCGTTCGCGGTTCTCTGCTCTGTCTAAGGGCACCTGGACAAACAAAGAGTTTTTTTAAGTTAAAATAAAACTGGAAGTTCTTGAAATGGATTTTGACAACCTAAGGGATAAGTTGCTTGTTTCTCTGAACAGGGCGAATAGCTGGGATGTTAATGGGACAGGAAGCTTCATATTAAAGATTAAATCAACAGTACAATTGGTTGCCGTACTAACAAGAGTGTGATGCTCTCAGGGTGGCTCAGTTGGTATTAAAGAGCAGCACAGTGTTTGGAAACACATAGCACTCTTCTGCTTATTACCATCCAAACTTTAACTTCTACAATCACTAACTTCCCCTCTAAGATCAGTAGAATTTCCTCTCATGTACCTTTGACAGCAACTTGTGAACGAGTCGGAGTGACATCTGATATTCAAACTCAAAGTCAGACTCCATGAGGGCCACCGCCACCCAGAAGACTGTGGCAAGTATTGTTGAAGGATGGGAAACGTGGGCGGGATCTGATAGCACGCTGGGATCAATGCGATTGGTTGATGAGGTGCAGGACCCGGGGGTTCTTCCTGTCCGGGAGAGGCCATGACTGTTGCAGGCCTAAAGATGAAATGAGATGTAACACAGAGTAAGTAAGAAGCACTGTGTAAACATGTCTGCTCCAGGATTAAGGGGCTCACACTAAACGAGATTTTTTCTTTCTTGCCTGTATTCGATCCAGAGTAGCACTGCGAGGAGGATCGCTCAGCGGGTGGCTGCATTCACCAAACTTCTTGGGGACAGAGTAGGAGCGCTGGTGGCGTTGAGAGGACAGACCGGCAAACCCCGGGCCGGGGAAGTTCAGCTGACCTGTGCTCTTTCTGTTCATCAGTTTCTCACTAGTCAGGAAGTCTGGTGAGGACGTCCTGTGAATCACACAGTCAGTCAAAACGAAGACGGAAATTAAAATACACTTGATAATAATAGTAAAGAAAAGGATGATAATAGAAATGATATGGTAAAAACGGTAAAATAGAATGCATAAGATGAATAGATAAATCACCCAAGAATAAACTCATGTAGAAAATATCTCAAAATATCATGCTATGCCTAAATGTGGTTAAATATGTTGAATTTGGTCTCCTAAAATGAAGGGAAATTAAGAATTAGCCACATAAAGGCAACATAAATCAAATGTAAAGATGCCTACCTGGTTAGAGCTGCCATAAGGTCGCTGTTTTTAAGACACTCTGCTAGATTCACCACGACAGACTCCAGTGTCAACAGCACCTCCATCACATAGCCCTGAAACACAGCAACACGCATTAGAATTACAGAGGAACAAGTGCAGTTGTTGTTCTTTTCGTCTTTCTAGCCCAAAAGTCTCTCGTTGCCTCACCTGCACTTCGTCTCCGTGTTCCCCCACCACCTCTACCAGGCGTGAGACCAGGTCGGAGACAGCGTGGTTGTTGATTGGCTGTTTGAGGGCTCTGAAGACCTGGAAGGAGCGGCCAGCGTAGTGACGAGAGGAGCTGCACAGAGCCGTCTGTAGAGCCACATCGCTCAGCTGCTGCTCCAGGTGGAAGTCTGTATCAACAAATGGGTACAAACAAAGACACATGAGGATGCATACAAACAGACCAATCAGAAGGTAAGCCTTTTTATATATGTTATTCAGTGAGAGACACCTGGTGCTTTCTCACCTGACTTGGACTCCTTGAAGACTGAGACGACGTGGCGCAGGAAGTTGGAGAGCTGCTCCGTGCTCTTGGAGTTGGGGTTCTTTGGTGTGATGTCCTCGTGCACCCACAGCGGCCCGAACGCTCTGAGCAACAACAACACAGTACTCCAGGCACTGTATACCCACCACCAATAGCACCACATACATGTTACACAATCACTAGTCTGTGTATGGTGCACACTGTGTGCCCCAAAGTGAGATGTTCCCACACAGCCATGCATTTCCTAAAAAAAACCTTCTGCTCCAACATTTAAATGCAGACCTTCTCAAACGGCACAAACCGTTGAAGGGGGTGTGCGTACCTGGTGGAGAGGAACTCGATGAGTTTGTTGGTCTTCTCCTCGGTCTCGTTGGGCATATCCTCGAGGTCCTCCAGGTCGTCAGGGGTTACGAGGGGCAAATTCCCAAGACTGCCTGCAATGCTGCCGCCACCCAGACTGGCAACGGAGGAGTTGGAGGTGGAGCTCAGGCCAGAGTCGGCCATTGGAGACGCCTGCCACTCGCGCAGGAAGTCAGGCGCATCTAAAGGAACGTGATGATAGAGTATATAGAATAAAGGGTACTATTATTATATTGCACTGCAGTTTTATCAGATTGTTATGTATTGTCGTGGTTTACATTCTTTATCGGTTCTCTCATGTGAAAAGAGATTGCTACACACTTGTTAATGCCATAGTATTGATCAATGTGTGTATGCATGCTTAGTTTTTTCTACTTACGTGACTGCTGGTACTCTGAGTGGTAGCTGGACTTAATGGTGAGGGTCTTGTTGTCACTGATCTCTCTCGTCAGCATCAGAACTGAGGCTATTACCTGTTAACACAAACACATTTGTTTTTATTGATTACTGAAATTATTTTATAACTAAATAACTATCCAAAGCAATAAGACAAAACACATACATTTAGGCTAACTTTTCATAATAATTGACAAGTATTAGGTTCCAACTCTGACCTGGAAGTTGTTGTTGCAGGAGAGAGCGATGAGGAGGTGGAGAAGGAGACGTTTGCTGTGTTCATAGACCTCTGGTCGATAGTGGTCCAGACCTAGCCAATCAAATACAGATCCAGTAAGACAACAGCAGATTTCCAAAACTCATTATGCAATTAGTATAATATTATAATTATATTAATATATATATATATATTAATATAATAATATATTATAATATTATTATTATTAATTATTATTATTATGCAATAATTATTAAATCGACGGTGACGACCCACTTTGATTCATTCAAACATTCGAAAATGCTTTATGCTGCTGCGGACAAGAAAGCCATTCAACTCACGTTCACCGAGGCATCAACCTCCAAAACCCTTTCGAGGGCTACAAGAAATGAAGTGAGTAGCCTACAAGATTGAAGCTGGTCAGATAACGAACGAGTAAATGAAAACAGAATGAGGCGGAGAAGTGTGTGTGTGTGTGTGTGTGTGTGTGTGTGTGTGTGTGTGATTAAAATAGCCCAATTGCTTTTACAATAAATAAACATTGAATGTGTTTAATTGAATAGGAAAGGGGTTTAACGTTAGTGGCAGGGTGTGTGTGAGAGAATAAATAAGACAGCCCAATATTAAAAAAAAATCTATTCTTTTTCGCAACTTTCCGCATATTTTGCAACTTCCCGCAATTTCACCGCATAAAATCACATAAAAACCCAGCATGTTTAATCGCATAATCAAGGATTTTTGCCCGCGTTTTTCTGGAGGGTCTAATTAAAGATGAGAACAGATACATACAAAGGAGAAACATAGTTTATATCCATATCTGAACACATACACAATTTAATCTTCTTTTAAAACATCTTATGAAATATTTACTGTTAAGATAAAACATATAAGAGAGAATCAAATGATGCTACATACTGATGCCAAACATGATGAAGTACAGTGTATTGAATGCCCCCTTTTAAAAGGGATGGTTGTGCTTCATTGGTTACTGTGAGAACTCCCAAACAGGTAGCATTTAGGATGACTATAAATTAAAAATAATCTCGTTAAACACTACCATTAAAAAAAATGGAGCAGTACAGAACAGCATGGATTCATAGACAACATCAGTAGCACAGATTTGATGATAAACGGCCTGAACTTACGGGTTAGTATGCTGAATATGCAGAGAACATAATACATTCCTGCACAGCTGACAGGGCAGGTATGTGTCCACATGAAGATAATACAGTCTTGGATGGAACATTTTTCAAGGGAAGGAGATAAAATATCACACCTGTCAGTCCAAAAGCTTATTTGACGTCAGAGAAGTACCAATACACCTACATGATATGTTTGTGTGTATGTGTTGTTGTGTAAACATCCTTTTAGTCAGGACAGTAAATCATAGTTTTCGATTCTTATCATTTTGTTCAAGTTCCTTTCAGTCCACATCATGTTCCCTCGCTGGGAGATAAGAGCAAAACCGGCTGGAGAATTTATCTGAGTTCATGATGTTGGCCTGATAACCGGCCTTTTCATTCCTCTACCATTCCTTCCTCCCCAAGATGAATTAGCTCAAGGCCCAACTTGTATAAAGTAATTAGTCGAGGAATGTATGTTGAGTGTATGCCTACCCAAGAAGAGGGCATGCAGCAGGAGGGGCAGATGTAAAGCCCAGTCTTCTCTCACGCTGTGGTCCACCACCATTTCAGTCATGAAGATCACTGCAATGTTACACCTGAGAACACACACAGAAATATAGTTAATGCACAAAATATCACCAATAACTGCTGCTTGCATGGGTTGTATAGTGGTGTACTGAGGAATTTGGTCAACCTTACAGGCGTTGGTTCAAACTGACTGTACTGTAACAGAGCAATTATCCCTAAAATTCAGCTCTGACTACATTTCTGTTTTTCAGATTCAAAACTCCTTCAGTCAAATGAGTGATGCAACTAACAACTTTTTTCACAATGGGTTTATTCTGGTATAAAGAATTTCTATATACATTTGTATTCACGGCAGACTCCTGCATCGGGTACCCGACTGACAAAAAAAGTTATTCGCGGGTGGTATTTTTTCAAATGCTTTTTTCCGGGTTCGGTTCTGGGTAAAACAAAGATGATGCGGGTCGGGTCGCGGGTGTTGCATAATAAATGTATATAATATATACCTCTGCAGCGCATCAATCTGCTGCTGAGCGTACCACATTGGAAATGGCTGAGGTGAAGCTCTCTAGCGGAGAATACAGCATTTTCAATAACACTTCCTCAAGAGTGAAATCCAACGTCTGGGAATTTTTTGGTGTCATCCTAGATGGAGAAAATAACTAACATCCCACGCTTTTTGAGACAAATATGCAACTGCCTGTGTTAATAATTGCACGTTTTCACTACTCATATAGGATATGCGGGTTCGGGTCGGTTTGCGGATCTTGTGCCGACGGGTCGGGTCGGTTGGCGGAACTAATTGGCAATATGTGTGGATGGCGGGGCGGGTTCGGTATTGCACGTCGCGGGTGCGGGTCTTGAAAATCAGACCCGTGCAGGACTCTGATTCACGGTAGCTATACAGTATAACGGAAAATCGTCTTTACATTTCCCAGAAAAGTAGTGTCCTTCAAGTTGTTTTTTCCAACCAAAATAATGAAATGTACAAATATAACAACGTCTAAGAATAAAAATAAATAATCGCATTTGATTAGTCTACTCTAAACCAGTGATCTTTCTTTAAAATGACTTAAACCAAAAACTGTCAATTATACATTTATTAACTAATTGTTTTGCTTCTAAATCAAATCAATATATAGAAAAATGCTAAAATCCATACACTCAATAGAAAACCTTTATTCTGCATTGGTTACATCTCTTTACATGCACCTACGTCATAAAGAGGATCTGTATCAGCAAGTTAAGGAATGCGCTCGAGACAACTGAGACACTGAGAAAAAACATTCTTTCACTAAGTGCACGTCGTCATCTAAGTCGTACACTAGAAACTGGTCATGTGTACATATTGCTGTTGTAATTGTGAGACCTCTCTTTGTACTGCAGGATGATTACAATTACAAAGCCTTTCCAAGAATTTCCATCAATCTGTCATAGAACCGTTTGCTCTGCTGTATATTCATCTCATCTTCACTAATGAATTGTGAGGTGTCGAAGGAGACGTGAGATTAGTTAATCCCTGCTAATATGCATTCTTTGCATAGCAGAGACAGAGCAAGCAGGTTGGGTTTCATTCTGTGGAGTTTATCAGACCATCTGGGAGTAGGTGTAACTCGTCAGTGTGAGAAAAGACCTTGCTTTGCTGACTCTGCTGATACCTTACTGTTAAATCCATTACCAGAGGTGGGAAGTAGTGGAGTACAAATACTTTGTTACAGCACTTAAAGGTGGAGTATGTAATTTACTTCAGAAACACTTTTTGTTATATTCCATGGAATGCTCTTAACATCCCGATAGCAATGAATACATTAAATGCTTTGACAATAAATACATACAAAAATGTCATCTGTGGAAGCCGTGGTACTGTAAAAAGCACGACCAATCATCTGAGCCGAACCGGCTTAAATAACTGGATGGCCTACCTGCCTGTCAGCCTTCCATCTTGTGCACAAACTTATCTTGTGCCCTCATTGGTCATGTGCGCATTCGTGTGTGTTGGAGGAGGGGCTCTGTAAGGAAGTGACAGATTTGTTCCGGCTGCTTAATACTTTCAAATTCTAGCGCACTCAAGCTTTTTTCTCCATTCTTACCTACCCTACCTTTAAGTAAATTTTTCTGACGACTTTTTACTTTTACTTCTTACATTTTTAACACAAATACCTGTACTTTCTACTTCTTACATTTTCCAAACAGGTTCGTTACTTTAGTTTTCATCTGTGTTTGGTGGCATGATCATTATTATTTAGAATCATTGCGTGCCTATTGATTTGAACACGATCCCATCACTTCCTTGTCTTCTCTAAAGAAGAGGGACCAATGAAAACGTTGTCATGTTGCCGTTGTTCAGCATCGAAACATTCATTAGCTAACAATGACATTATTGTTCTATTAATATAAAGGGAGGTCAGTTACTCTATAAAACTGTTGGTAGTTATGGGTACTTTTGACTTAAGTACATTTCGAAGCCAGTACTTCTTTGCTTTTACTCGAATAAAGAAGTTTAATCAGTACTTCTACTTTTACCAGAGTATTTTTAAACACGAGTATCTGTACTTCTACTTGAGTAAAGGATGTGTGTACTTTGGCCATCTCTGTCCATTATTGCCTCAGTCTGTTTTCTGCCTGTGTTTTTGTGGTTGTTTCAGAGTTGTTTGTCTGTGCATGTTTGCTTGTATACCTATGCAGTGGTCCTCTAGGTGTGATGGTTTCTGGGAGGTAGTCGACCAGAGGGGCCCAGCAGCCTCCGTTTACAGGCATGGGTAACGGCTGAGGATGGTTGGTCTCCAGGACACCCAGGATCCAGCCGGCATATGGCGGGAGAGGGTCCGCTACAAACACAATACAATTAGTTTTTTTTCTTTTTTTCGAGCATGTAAAACCAAAGAAATTACAAATGAAACAAAAGATGGTACAGACATGATACAGTACTATACAAATGAATGCAATAACAAAACGAACTAGAGAATGCAATTCCTGAAGAAATTGCTAGTGGGAATGCTTTATGCTGAAAATCTGACGCTAAACTGCTATGTTGAAATGTAAGAAAAAAAGTGAATAATTTAGATTGAAATGATACATGAACACTGGGGGCTTGAATGTGTGATGAGAGAAGAAAAGAAAGTGAAAAGGCTTGGAATAGCAGCAGAATATTTGAACCGCAAACTTCTGAACTAACTTGATGGCGAATGATCTGTCGCCATGGCAACGGCATTTGATGACACCCCATAATACGCTTAGATGCATTGATGGCTGCATTGTTACCAAACCTGTGAAGTTTTGGGCTGTTTGGAGTATTTTCACTGAAGTTATGAGAAAACCGTGTTTCAAGGCGAGCATTGTGTTGCCATGGCAACGGCATTTGAAGAAATCTCAAAACTGTCCCGTAGATGTCTTCACGGCTGGACTGTTAGCACACTGCTATCTGAAGTCTGCTGCTCTGAGCATGTCAGTTGGAGTGATGACATCATCGTGTTCCATTGCACAGGTGTTTATAGTTGAGCTAACGAGGTGCCTAGACTTCAAAGGCTTCATTGTTCTGAATGAGAGATGAACCTCTTACATGTGAACGTTTTGTGGAAGAACCGTAACAGATATCTGTGAAATTTCAAAACGTGAAGCATGTCAAGGAAGTTGAGTATCTGAAGTGTAATTTTTGTGTACTTTTGGGTTAATAATGTGGCCTTTTTGGCAGTTTAACTAAAGGTGTGCGGCTGCTGCTGTGAGGAAATATCAGCCTGAAATTACAATGGGCTTTAATGGAGGAATGTTGAACGTTTTTGTCACTTCATGCCCTCAAAAAGCATTTTGTTTAATTATTTTTTTGCTGAATTATTTGTCATTTTTCAAGCTACGGGATGTTTTCCTACGTTTGTCATGAAAAATTATGTCTCAGGAATGTAGGGTTTGGGAATTATGGCAGTTTTAAGAAAAATATATGAAGGCATATTTCAAGATTTTCTAACCTCTAGCTGTGACATCACGCACTCTAGTTAATGTTAAAATCTGAAGAAAACCGCTAAAACAAGGTCTGAACAATGTTTAATATCTCTAAAAGTAAGAATCAGATTTAAAAGTTGTTTTACACGAATAATGTCAGAAAGATGTGTAGCATTTTAAAGTTGGAATGAGGTTTCTGAGTGAAAGTATGAATGAACAGTTAGCAGTTGAATTGCATGAAGATTTGTTGAAGTCTGAAGATTTTCTCCATTGACTTCAATG